ATTTAAAAAAAAAAAAAAAAAAAAAAAAAGAACTTTCAATAAAAAGTAAACTTTTTCATTGATGCAAGGTCATTTGGGCCAATTCTCCTGGAAGCCCGAGGGCCAAGAAAAAATTGTCTGAGGGCAGCATTTGGCCCACGGGCCATAGTTTGGACATGCCTGTTCTACAGTACGGCATTAAAATAATCTACAGTTAACATCAACAAGCCAAGATACAGGTCAGATCTTTGTTTGTTTTGATTTAGTTCACAAGATAGACAAACGTAATGACGCACTGTAGAACTTTATTTACGTAAAAAATATCCATGGTGACAAGCAGAGGTCAGACACCCCCCCGAAAAGTTACAGAGTGCAGCTTTAAACGTTTACAATCACGCACCCGAGCCAAAGAAATCAACCATTACTGATTTCATGTCACGTTTCCCAAAAAAGCACGAATCTCATCTGCTTACTGGAGCATCTATGCCATGTACAGACTTGAATGTGAATGTGGACGCACCAGACACAAGTTCAGAGAGAGACCGGCTGAACAGAAATATGCCATTAGAATCAACAACATACTTTACCCGATGGCAAAACATTAAAAAGCCATTGGTAACTGCCTCAGGGCCGTGGTGATAGAGGTCATCCCCCAGGATCATCTTCTCCACAGAAAGATGTTTTGGATCCATACTTTGGGCTATGGTCCACTTTGGTCTCAACAAATAGGTGGATTTTTCACCCTCCCCTCAGCTCCTATAAACTATTTGCACTATAAAGCTGCTCCCATAACTGTTGGAACTATTAAGCTTCTTCATATTTGCCTTCTTGTTAATTAGTGCCTCAAGATGCTGTGTCTTTATATCATGTTGTTGCCAAGATTGTCAAGAGGAGAGAAGATGGCCACCAAACACCCGGGTATTTTTAATAATCTTTCTTACAAAATATCTGGTCATGTTAATAAAAAAATAAATAAAAATGATGAAGTGTGCTAAGTAACCTTAGGGAAATATGTAACACTGACTATACTCCAACATATAAAGAGTTTGTATCTGTTGTGTTAGAGTGGTATGTTGTCAGTATACTTGGATTCAACATGTGTATGTGCCCAGTTAAGCAGAAGTAAACAGCAAGGCCAAAAATTCAAGTTAATGCATCTGATCTAAAAATGTATTGAACAGATACATATGTACTCTAGTTTATCAAACTGTTGACCTTTTTTCTGTACCATTTTTGGTTCTAAAGTTCCATATGTTTTAAACAGACCATGTATGAAACATGGAACAAAAATGATTTCCCAAATTTCAAAGATCTGCAAATCATGTAAATAAATGGAAAAAAAAAAAAAGTATTTAAAATGATAAAAATTTGCTTGGAAGGACTGACATATTTTATAGAAATAGTTTCCTTTCATTTTGAAGTAATATTAAAGTTTTCGGAAGAAAAAAACTGACAAATGATGTAAAATCCTCCACCTTCTACTTGTTTGCACAATTTTCCCTCCGTTACTTTTCCCTCCGTTACCATGACCTTTCTTCATAAAAAATCTCCTGAGTCAAAAAGTAAGAGGTTTCTGCCCCTGTTTCCCTCCATTACCACTTGACCGAACCCGTATGTGTATGAATATTTTGTTTTTGATCATCACGTGTTTGGGGTCATGACTCCTATAAATAATCACACCTGCAGCTCGCTCTATCAGCCCTGAGGAAGACTCAGAAGTATTTGAAACGTGTTGGCATGAACATTAATAAATGCATAAATAAAATACATAAATCAGAGTGCCTCTACCATCCTTTTTTCTACACACCTGGAGTTGTGTTTTGTTTCATTCACACATATACAACACACAAAGCCCAAATTAGTAATATCCTACAGGAAGTGCTCCACTGTGTTTTTAAACTCCACACACGTTCACTAGAATCACTTGGATGATTCAATCCTGGAATGGTCGATCTCTACTGAACTTAAGATAATTGGAGCTGTTTGTCATGGCTCATGTTTTGTAGTCGTTGTTTTTGTTTATTTTGGTGTAGCTTTTTCCTTTAGCGTTGTGTGCCCTTGGTGTTTTATTTTGACATTTGTCCTGTCTGCTTCTAATCTGTGTGCTTATATACCCTGTGTTCTCCTCTGACCTTTGTTGGTCCATTGTCTGCGTCTGCATCAGCGTCTGTGTCTGCATCAGTGTCTGTTGCATCAGTGTCTGCATCAGTGTCTGCATCAGTGTCAGTGTCTGCATCAGTGTCTGCATCTGTGTCTGTGTCTGCATCAGTGTCTGTGTCTGCATCAGCATCTGCATCAGTGTCTGCATCAGTGTCTGCATCAGTGTCTGTGTCTGCATCAGCATCTGCATCAGCATCTGCATCAGTGTCTGCATCAGTGTCTGCATCAGTGTCTGTGTCTGCATCAGCATCTGCATCAGTGTCTGCATCAGTGTCTGCATCAGTGTCTGCATCAGTGTGCATCAGTGTCTGCATCATGTCTGCGTCTGTGTCTGCATCAGTGTCTGCATCAGTGTCTGTGTCTGCATCAACATCTGCATCAGTGTCTGCATCAGTGTCTGCGTCTGCATCAGCATCTGCATCAGTGTCTGCATCAGCATCTGCATCAGTGTTTGCATCAGCATCTGCATCAGTGTCTGTGTTTGCATCAGCGTCTGTGTCTGTATCAGCATCAGAATCTGTGTCTGCATCTGTCTGCTGTCTGCATCAGTGTCTGCATCAGTGTCTGTGTCTGCATCAGAATCTGTGTCTGCATCAGCGTCTGTGTCTGCATCAGTGTCTGTGTCTGCATCAGAATCTGTGTCTGCATCAGTATCAGTGTCTGTGTCTGCATCAGCATCTATGTCTTGTCTTGTCATGGCAGTTTAGTTTAGATTTTTGGATTCATGAATATTTGGATCTTTCTTTGTTTGTGATTAAAGAACTGCATTTTGGGTCTTCCCCTGTTTCTACGCGACAGTGTAGACAACTTGAAAACTACAGTTTCATGACATCACAACGTGGAACAGAGCATTTTGAGCTTTGGAGATGCAGACAAACTAATAATAAAGAGTTACTCAAACATGTGAATGAAACAAAACACAACTCCAGATCTGTGTTTGAGATTTATAACGTGACTAAAAGCTCACAGGAGACCATTTAGTGTCATATATGTTCTTTAATGCCACACGGTGGAACTCGGCCAGCAGAGCAATCATCTCCATGGAGACCAGCAGGTGGCGGACCCCGGTATAAGCCTAAACAATTAAAAAACAACACGATATCTTCAATTAAAAGTATATTTGTAAAAGCCTATAGGGTCAAACACAGTTATACCAAAAGTGTGAAAATGAAAGGTGTTGGGTCTGCCACCTGCTCGTCTCCATGGAAACGTTACTGCTATGTCAACAGGCCAAGATACAGGTCAGATCTGTGGAGAGGCGACACAGTATTTTCACAGTATTTTTCTATTTCTACAGCGATACAATGCGTATAATGTAGACGACAGTAACGAACATTTACGCAAAACATCTCCATGGCGACAAGCAGAGGGCAGACACCCGCCTGAAAAGTTACACAGTGCAGCTTTAAACGTTTACCATCACGCACCCTGGCCAAAGAAATCAACCATTACCGATTTCACGTCACGTTTCACGTCAAAAGCACGAGTCTCATCCACTTAGCGGAGCACCGACGGAAACGTACGGCGTAATGCCCGCGTTATTGTGTCGCTCTGGCTCCGGTTCAAACGCGCTTTCCGTACGTAAAACGCTTCCTCACGCGCGCACATCGTCTCCAATTCTCAGCAAAATAATATTCTTTCAGCAATCGTGTTTTTGTTTTCATTTCTGCGACGGTTTACGCGTGGAATCGGACGTGAAAAACGCACCGCTGGCACGTCCTCCCCCCCGTCCTCCCCCCGTCTCCCCGCGCGTAAACATGGTCCCCGCAGATCCGGAGCTCCCAGGAGGCGAACCCGGTGACACGGCTTTGTTTGGCCGCAGAGAGAGGCGCTGATGCCGGGGGAGGTTTGAGGAGCGAGCCCGGTGAACTCTGGAGCTCAACGGAAACAAAACGCGACCGAGCGGCTGGAGGTGACAGCGCAACAGACTAAACCCGGACCGAACCGGGACTAAACCAGGACTAAACCCGGACTAAATCAGGACTAAATAAGGTTCATGACTAAAACAGAACGAAACCGGGACTAAACCAGACAAACCAGGACTAAATCAGGACTGAAACGGGAATGAAACAGGATTGAACCGGGACTAAATTAGGAAAAAACGGGGACTAAACCAGGACTAAATCTGTACTAAACCAGGATTAAACCTGACTGAAACCAGGACTAAATTAGGACTAAACCAGGACTATACCTGGACTAAACCAGGACCAAACCTGGACTAAACCAGGACCAAACCTGGACTAAACTAGGACTATACCTGGACTAAACTAGGACTCAATCAGGACTAAATCAGGACTAAACCAGGACTATACCTGGACTAAACCAGGACCAAACCTGGACTAAACCAGGACTAAACCAGGACTATACCTGGACTAAACTAGGACTCAATCAGGACTAAACCAGGACTAAACCAGGACCAAACCTGGACTAAACCAGGACTAAACCAAGACCAAACCTGGACTAAACCAGGACTAAATCAGGACTAAACTCAGGACTAAACCAGGACTAACTCAGGACTAAACCTGGGCTAAACTAGTCATAATAATTCAATGTGCAGTGCCAAAAACGAACCAAAACAAACCAAACCAAATCCAGTCCGGAAATAACGGACAAACCCCGCAGCCCGTTCTTAAACACATATAGGACTCCACTGGAACTAAACCAGGACTAAATCCGGTCCAAACAAGTCTAAAGAAAAACAACAACACACTGACAACATCCCGGGCGCAGTCTGTGCAAAAGGTTTGAGCAGAAAAGGAAACAAACTTCGCTTTTTCGAACTTTAAACCGCCGGAGAGTCGAGACAAGTGCAACGATCCCACGACTCTCCGATCCAAACTTGAGCCCGAATGCGCACTTACCGGAGAGGTCACGCGGTCCGGGGCGGGTCCTGAGGGTCCGGGGGGGGGGGGGTCTGGACCGTGGACCGTGGACGTGTTTTAGTCCCAAAAGCGCGTGGCGTGGGTCCCGAGAGGAGCGCAGGAGTCCGTGAGCGCGCGGGAGGACGTGTGAGAGCAGACTGGGACCGAGAGAGAGAGAGAGAGAGAGAGAGAGAGAGAGAGAGAGAGAGAGAGAGAGAGAGAGAGAGAGAGAGAGAGAGAGCGGAGCGCCGGTGTGCGCCGCGCTCCAGCCGCTGCGTCTGACGTCATCCCGCTCTGCCCGTACTGACCAAGAGAGACAGAGGGTAGAAGGTATGAAAAAAAAAGAAAAAAACAGAGAGAGAGAGGGAAGAGAAGGGAGAGAGAGAGAGAGAGGGAGAGAGAAAGAGGAAAGGAGAGAGAGAGAGATAGAGAAAGAGGTGGGAGAGAGAGAAAGAGGGAGGGAGAGGGGAGAGAGAGAGAGGGAGAGAGAGGAGGGAGAGAGAGAAGAGAAAGGAGAGGAGAGAGAGAGAGAGAGAGAGAGGAAGAGAGGAGAGAGAGGGAGAGAGAGAGGAGGGAGAAGAGAGAAAGAGGAGGAGAGAGAGAGAGAGAGAGAGGGAGAGGAGGGAGAAGAGAGAGAGAGAAGGAGGAGGAGAGAGAGAAAGAGGAAAGGAGAGAGGGAGAGAGAGAAGAGAGGAGGAGAGAGAGAGAGAGAAAGAGGGAGGGAGAGAGAGAGAGGGAGGGAGAGAGAGAAAGAGGGAGGAGAGAGAGAAAGAGGAGGGGGAGAGAGAGATAGAGAGAGAGAGAGAGAGAAGAGAGGGAGGAGAGAGAGAGAGAGAGAGAGGGAGAGGGGGAGAGAGAGAAAGAAGGAGGAAGAGGGGGAGAGAGAGAGGAGAGAGGGAGAGGGGAAGGAGGAGAAGAGGAGAGAGAGAGAAGGAGGGAGAGAAGAGAGGAGGAGGAGGGAGGGAGAAAAGAGAGAGAGAGGGGAGTAGGAGAAGGAGGAGAGAGAGAGAAATAGAGAGGAGGGAAGGCGGGAGAGAGGAGAGAGAATCAGAGAGTGGGAGGGGGGAGAGGAGAGAGAGAAGAAGAAAGGAGAGAGAGAGAGGGGAGGAGGAAAAGGAGGGAGGGAGAAAGAAAGAGGGAGAGAGGAGGGGAGGAAAGGGAGGAGGAGAGAGAGAGAATCAGAGAAGGAGGGGAAAGAGGAGACGAGGAGAGAGAGAAAGAGGGAGCGAGAAAGAGGGAGGGAGAGAGAGGGAGGGACAGGGAAAGGAGAGGAGGGAGGGAGGGGAGTAGGAGAAGGGAGAGAGAGAAAGAGGGAGAGAGGAGAGGAGGAGAGAGGGAGGGAGAAAAGAGAGAGCGCCGGGGAAAGGAGAGAGAGGGTGGGAGAGAGAGGAGGGGAGAGGAGGAGAGAGAGAGAGAATCAGAGGGGGGGGGAGGAAGAAGAGAGGAGACAGATAAAGAGGGAGGGAGAGAGGGAGTGACGGGGAAAGGAGAGAGAGCGAGGGGAGTAGGAGGAGAAGGAGGAGAGAGAATTAGGGAGGAGGGAAAAGGAGAAGAGGAGAGAGAAAAAGAGGGAGAGAGGGCAGGAGAAAGGAAAGAGAGGGAGGGGAGTAGGAGAAAGAAGAGAGAGAGAAATATGAAGAGGAGAGGAGAGGGAGGGACAGGGAAAGGAGAGAGAGGGAGGGGAGTAGGAGAAGAAGGAGAGAAAATTAGAGAGGGAGGGAGGATTAAAGAGGAGAGGAGGAGAGAGAGAAAGAGGGAGAGAGGAGAGGAGGAGAGAGGGAGGGAGAAAGAAAGGAGTGGGAAGGAGAGAAGAAGGGGAGTAGGAGAAAGAGGAGAGAGAGAAATAGAGAGGGAGGGGGAAAGAGGGGAGGAGAGAGAGAAAGAGGGAGAGAGATGGTGGGAGAGAGGAGAGAGAGAATCAGAGTGGGAGGGGGAGAGAGGAGAGGAGGAGAGAGAAGAAGAAAAGAGAGAGGGAGGGGAAATAGGAGAGAGAGGGAGGGGAGTAGGAGAAGGAGGAGAGAAAGAGAAACAGAGAGGGTGGAAAGAGGAGAGGAGGAGAGAGAGAAGAAGAAAAGGGAGAGGGAAAGGAGAGAGAGAGGGAGGGAGAGAGGAAGAGAATGGGAGAGGGAGGAAGGAGAGAGGGAGGGCGGTAGGAGAAGTCAGAGAGCGAAAGAATCAGAGTGGGAGGGAAGAGAAAAGGTGAGGGAGGGAGGGAGGGAGGGAGGGGGAAGAAGAGAGGGGATGGGAGAGAGGAAAGGGTGTAGGAGAAGGAGGAGAGAGAAATAGAGAGGAGGGGGGAGAGAGGGTGGAAGAGAGAGGGAGGGGAGAAGGAGAACAAGGAAAGAAAAATCGAGACAGAGCGAGAGGGTGGAAGAAAGGGACAGAAGTAAGAGAAGGAGAAAAGAGAGAGAACTAGAGAGGAGAGGAGAGAGAGAGAGGGCAGCGGTGGAGAGAGAAAGGGTGAGGAGGAAAAAGGAGAAGGAAAGAGATGTAGGAGGAGAAAATATTACAACTCTTTCACTTTTTAGTAATAACCATTAGAGGCAGATTGGTGTGAAAAAACGAAATTATGTTGAAAAACAATCAAATGGGAAAACGTTTTACTGTCAAAAAAAAAAAAAAAAAAAATCAACTTCTATTTCCAATATTTCATTTGATTCAATCTAAAAAGTGAGTGTGAAGCGGCTGGGATGAAGATCAGCTCCTCCAAATCTGAGGTCATGGAGGTTCTCGATGGGAAGAAGGTGTCTTGTCGTCTCCGAGTGGGTGGAGAGTCTCAAGTGGAGGAGTTCAAGTATCTCAAGTATCGTGAGATTGACAGGTGGATCGGCGCAGCGTCGGCAGTGATGCGGTATCGGTATCGCTGTATCGGACCTTTGTGGTGAAGAGGGAGCTGAGTTGAAAAGTCTTTGTTCCTCCCCTCACCTCTGGTCATGACTCTGGGTAGTGACCGAAAGGATGAGATCGACATGAGTTTCTCTGCAGGGTGTCCGGGTGCTCCCTTAGAGACAGGGTGAGGAGCTCGGAGTCGAACGCCCTGGTTCTAGGCATGTCCCAGCAGGAGGAGGCCCCAGGGAAGAACCAGGACACGCTGGAGGGACTATGTCTCTGGGCTGGCCTGGGAACGTCTTGGAGGAGCTGGAGGAAGTGTGCATGGTGAAGGAGGTCTGGGAGTCCCTGCTTAGGCAAATATCCCCACAACCCGGTCCCAGATTTTTCTATCACCTTAAAGGCACTCAAAGCACTTTACAACAAGGAACCACTCACCCAGTCACACACCAGTGTACGCAGACACTGTGGGCAAGTTGGATTAAGTGTCTTGCCCAAGGACACAACGGCAGCATTCATGTGTGGGAGCTGGAATCACACCAGCCAACCTGTGGGTCAGTGGATCTGACCACTCAACCTGTGACGTTTATGTTGAGAACTGGATTCGAACCACCAACCTTCAGGATCAGTGGGGAAATGCTCTACCAACTGAGCTACTGCCGCCCTTTACAGAAACATAAAGATTAGATTAGATAAAGGAGAAGAAAATGAATGGATGGACCAATCAAAAAACAGTCTCTGGGCCTATTTTCATTTTCATATTTGATTCTCTCTGGTTTATATAAAGTTCTGCTGCTCAGCGTCGTGTGTGAATTGAGTGTCAACTGAACAAAGGAGTTTCTCGCTGCTTCCTGTTTGTTTCTTGTCTTGGATCAGCAATGAATTTTTCAGACATGAAAGTAAACGCGTCGCTGTAAAAGAAGAGACATGTTTGTCCACAAAACTGCAGTGGTTTTTCAGGTGAGTCCTTTTAGGAGCAGAACTTCTGGGGCAAATAAACCAGAAAGAATCAAATATCCAAACTGAAATATGCAAAAGACTGTTTTTTGATTGATGTTATTTGAAAAAAACTTTAAATTCAATATTGGAAATAAAGGTCGAAATCTGTTTTTTTTGTTTGTTTGTTTTTTTTGACACTAAAATGGAAAAATGAAATAACAAACTGTTTTCCCTTTTTATAGTTTTTTGTTCTTAATTGAAATTCAAAAGAACAAAAGGTACATGGACTGCGGGGTCGCCTCTCCACAGATCTGACCTGTAACTTGGTCTGGATTAGTCTCCATGAAGAAAGAAAGGTTTAATCAGTGTTGTGAAGGTGACTTTTAAAATGTAATCCCCTACAGATTACAGATTACAAACCCCCAAATGTAGTTTGTAACAAAATCCATTAAATTATTTAAAGTGAGTAATGTAATCTGAATACTTTGGATTACTTGGTTTGCTGTAAAGAAGCAAAGACCAGGATATTGTAACATAAGATGTTTTGTGTGTTAAAAGAAAAGAAAATGTCCAGACTTCACCAAACCAAATTCAAAATATTATTGATAGAAGAGGAGACACGTCCACACAGCATGGTCCTGTTAAATCCTGTTTTAGTCCTGGTTTAGTCCTGTTTTAGTCCTGGTTTAGTCCTGGTTTAGACCTGGTTTGGACCTGGTTTGGACCTGGTTTAGTGTCCGGCAATGAGTGGAATTACTAAAAAAAAAAAAGGAATATAGCCCAAAATGTGAAAACAGGAAAATACCCCCATGTAATCCATTTATTTCAACAAAGTAACTGTAATCCAATTACTACTCATTAAAACAGTAACTGTAACTGAATACAGTAACTCATAATTTGTACTCTGATTACATAACTTTAATACATGTAATCTGTTACTCCCCAACACTGGGTTTAATGTCATACTGTGAAACATTCCAGACAAATATGGAGAAAAGCGTCTGACAAATCCTCCACCAGAAAAGTGACCCTTGAAATTTGCAGTGCAGTAATAATTAGTGCGACTTTGCATCTGATGTTATTAACATTTCATGGAGGTGTGATACTAACTGGAGGCACTGCTCTGTCTGAAGCTCTGTTACTCAAGTTAAACTTTAATCAGAGTTTTATTTAACACAATCTGACCAGAAAGAGTTGGAGCTACAAGAGGTGAACTCATGTGCTGCTGAACAAATCCCTCTCAAATATCATGACAGTCACAAACTAATCAACATCAGCCCACAGTTTTTCATTGAGTCACCTTCACCTTTTAGTTGAAAATCAGAAGAAAACCTAAACTGGACCACAAACCTTCGCACTGACCACAGATTCTAGAAGCTGTTTTCTTGAGGTTTCAC